CTGTAGAAAGCTGCCCAACTGTTAGCACTGTGATTTTTGCAGGCAAATTCTGGTAGGTATGGGTGCATCAATGACTCCAGCAGTCTACTCCCACCCCTGTGATGCAGGTGGGTTCATCCATCGCATCCATATGGACCCACCAGCATGAGGAGAGGGAAGTGGAGGGGAAGGCAGAAAGCAGGGGAGGCGTAACATGTTACCCTGGTATTTGCCAGAACTCACTTGCCAACGTCTAAAAGGGCAGAGAAGTTACAAAGCATTAAATCTGTCACGTTCATGCTCCAGGCATCGGATGCGGTCCCTAAGAGGAGAGGCGGGAGTGGTCCCTCTCTTTTTTATCACACTCTCTTCATTAGTTCCAGAAAGATGTTTTAAAAATAACTGTTCAAAGAACAGGAAAACCATTTCCCTACCCATTTTGGATTCTAAGTGATGTTTCTACATTACTAAGTCAATTCAAGATGGGCCATACAAAGTGCTATTAGTGTAATGCCTGATAATAGTTTAGAGCAGCAGAAGGTGCCTTAATGCAAATATCATGTTGCAGGAAGCGGGGTGCTTTACAATAGCTGCTGTCTCGCTGCTGAGATGTAGACCATTATTTTCTTGACTAGCAAATATAGCGTCTGCATTTTTCTTTGAATCGGAAAAGGAAACCGGAAATGTAGCCACCACGCTTTGGGAACTGTATTTTCTTATACATTGCTGATATGATAAAATATGTTAAAAATTAGGCAGTTGGCTTGAATTGAACTTTCAATGATTTTATTTTACAGATCGTAAGTCTAAACGCATTGGGTTGAAGGCATATAGAATGTTAGTGGTAAAGTTAGCCCCTTTGAAAACGAAAGGTGCTTTCAAATTTACACTGAATTTAATGGCAATTTCATTTCCTTTCAAGATGTTAAGCTTGTTCCTAAGAGGTGCTGTCTGAAAAGTTGCAGTAGTGGCCTAAATCTTGACCATGTAATATTCATTAAAGTAATTTCCAGATGTGTATGTACATATATGAGTATGCGTGTATTTTTAGAAGCCAAATTATCCTAGTGTCAGCATGTATGAAAACCCCAATTTATGGCAAGACCTATGTGGTGGTAGACTGAACAATGTCCTCTTGTTCTCTCTTTCATTCCCCACTCAAAAAGCTCCCTATTTTTCTGAACAGAACAGGAACATTATAGCAGTAATGAGCCATTCTTCTTCCTACCCAGACGTTCTTTATTCCGTATGATGTTTTAGGACTTGTGCTGTTTGCCTTCA